GATTGCTTGCCGATCTGCGAGGAGGTCAAGAAGCCTCCCAAGATACCGCCATGCTGGCAGGTTGGCTTCTGTCTGTGTGGGAAGAGAGGGCGGTCAACATCACAGATGAGGGCATGGTTCTACGCGGCGTTGAAGCAGGCCACCAAGAAGAACACGCTTGGACGGCAGCTGCTGTCATTGAGAAAGTTAGTCGTCAAATTGGTTCCTGTCATCGACGCTGCAGTTCCCGCATCTCCGTGGGACATCGCCACTGGCGACGAGCAGACGATAGCGCAGGAGGTGTGGCTGCACATCAGCATCCACTCGTTCAAACCCTACTGGTCTGGATTCCGTGTCTGTCAGGCCGTCGGGGGGAGCAAAGACGGCGCCCTAGAGGAGATCAACCTCGAGGCTCGGCGCACTCGAAATTGGCATCGCCTCCCCTCCAACTCCGTGCCCCAAACATTCGCACTTGAGCCAGTTTCTTTCTTGAGCCACACAAAGGAATGTTAGTTCGGAAGGCGCAACCTCCTCCTCTTCCTCATCCTCCTCCTTCCGTCCTCCTCCTCCTTCCGATCTCCACGCCCTCACCGATCTCCACGCCCTCCCCTCCCCACCTCCTCCCCCTCCTCCTCCCCACATACACCTTCCTCGCCAAATCCAAGTATGCGCAAGAGCCCCCCCCACACCCCGAGACGGTCCAGAGGCCCCAAGAGTCCACAGGTGGCACCCCCCAAGACGGCCAAAACACTTCTAAGTCAGATCCAAAGGGGGAGGATGAGGACAGGAACGCGGAGGATGGAGGATTGTGAGGACGACAGGGGGAGCAAGAGAGGCAGAGGAGGATGCGAATTTTGTGTTTCCGAAAGGCAACAACTACCAAATGGCTGGACTGGTTTGCATTTCACGAGCTGGACCCACACCACAAGTGGGATGTCAACTGGTACCAGATCCTTGAGTGTGAACGGGTCGTGGGCTTTCGCCCAGCCGACATCACAGTTGTTGAATTCAAACCTCGAGCTGCTGCAGGTGCCCCTTCCTGGTGTAGCCGTGGCAAGCGACGGCAGCAGAGGGGTGGTCGTCGCGCGCTGAAGGACGGCGACCCCGACGGTGGCGACGTCGAGGAAGTATCCGACGGTTCCGACGACACCTCCTCATCATCGTCCTCCGACAGCGGCAACGACTCCAGCTCGGGCGACGGCGGCGACTCCGACGGCTCGCGTGGCAGCGAGTGCGAGGTGCACTGGAGTGGCTTGGTTATGTTTCTGATCGTTTGCACGGCTGGCTCGCCACCTCCACTCTTCGGCGATGGCCGCAGGCCGCAGCCGACGATTGGAAGTGCTAAGCTGGAGCGCAAACGAGGTGGAAGCAGAACCGCGCTGCTTCAATGCTCAGGTGGACTCTGCGGATGCCGCATCTGCAGTCGACGAGCTGGAGCAGCAACTTGGCGTCGATGACGACCGTGGTGGTGACGACGCTCGCGGAGGCGAGCTTGGGGGAGACGGTGGAGACTCCCTCAGGGAGCGCGGCCACGGCTCGGGCGGGTCGCGTGAGCCCAGCCCTACTCCTGTGCCGCCTGGGCCTCCTGTAGGCCCTGATGAGGCCCCTCTGCCTCCACCTCCAGTGCCTCCGCCACCTGCGCCGCCATCCGAAGTTTCCGAGCGGCGTTCGCTCATCGGAGGGGCGGGTCGGGACAGGGCAGAGGTAGTGTGCAAGTTTGCTGGCGGTGAAATTGTGTGGTACAAGCACAAACGTTTTGAGGCCATTTGCAGGGCTTGCCCGAAGTCAGCATCGGGCAAGCCATGCAAGCTTTCGAGGGCCTCGTATGCAGGCGACGCAGCACCTCAGGGGCGCCCATTAGGCTTGCTATCAGCCTGGCTCGAGGCTGGCCCACAGTGTATGATAGATAAGACAAATCACAAAGACAGGTTGTTTGTGAAGCACTGCTTTCCTAAGGAGACGCGCAAGGCTGCGCGCAGCAGACTGTACGAATTAGGTGGCGCTGCTGTCGAGGCGCTCAGGGGCAAGGAGCGGGACCCTCGGCTCGGGGAAGAGTCGGAGCCCGAAGGAACTCCTTGAAAAACAAACGGCGCTGAGGAGGTGGAATGGCAGGGAGGAGAAGGAGGAGCGGGAGGGGGAGCCGAGCGCAGGGGCGAGGGAGGCTGGGGGAGGGAGAGGGGGAGGAGGGAGCAGGGAGGGAGAGGAGAGGGAGGGGGGATGGGTGGGAGAGGCACTCGCTGGCGGAGAGGTCGGAGCGCCTCCGAGGGCACCGGCAGCCGGTAGGGCTCCACGCTCGAGAGCTCCAGGGAGCACTCGCCAGACCCCAGGCTCGCCCAGGAGTGCTCCTGGGAGCACTCGCCAGACCCCAGGCTCGCCGAGGAGTGCTCCTGGGAGCACTCGCCCCTCCCTGGGACCTCTCTGGGAGTGCTCTGGGAGTGCTTTTTGAGTGCTTTTTGAGTGCTTCGAGTGGTCCTGGGAGTGGTCTGGGAAATTGGGGAACCTGTGAGAGTGGTCCCAGGGGCACTGTGCAGCGACCCTGGGGCTCTGGGGAGTGCTCTGGGGGGTGCTCTGGGGAGCGCCCTGGGGGGAGGGGAGTGCTCTGGGGAGTGCTCTGGGGAGTGCCCTGGTGGAGGGGGGAGTGCTCTGGGGAGTGCTTTTTGAGTGCTTTTTGAGTGCTTTTGGAGTGCTCGGCCCTGGGGAGGGGGGTCCCAGGAGTGCTCTGGGAGTGCTCTGGGAGTGCTTTTTGAGTGCTTTTTGAGTGCTTTTGGAGTGCTCGGCCCTGGGGGGAGTGGTCCCAGGAGTGCTCTGGGAGTGCTTTTTGAGTGCTTTTTGCGTGCTTTTGGAGTGCTCGGCCCTGGGGTGCGTGCTGGTGCGCCCTGGAGGGCCTGCTGGTGGGCCCTGGGTGGAGCTGCCGCCGAGAGCCCTGGCGCCCTGAAGGCCTGCAGGTGGGCCCCGAGTGCTTCCAGGACGGAGCTGCAGGCTCCCGCTGGTGGGGGGGCGGCAGCAGACCGTCGGGCGTTCGCCTGGCCCGCAAAGGCCTTAGGCCCCTGGAGGATCCCAAGGGCGTGCGTCTCTCGGGCTGGAAAAGCTTCTCGGCCAGGGGGGTGAAGGGTTGGCAGCGCTTCCCACCTGAGGCTGGATGGCGGTCGTTCGCAGCCTCAGGTGGGACGATGTCAGCTCTTCGACTCTCTGTGGCCGTCGTGGGCGGCTGGTGAAAGACATCCTGGTTTACTTGGGAATCACTGCACCCTTCCCTCTTTTTATTTCTGGCCGTAAGGACTCTTAGGGCCAGAAAAAAAAGTTTACCGACCGACAACCACTGATCTGGGGATGTATATGAATATCTTCCTGCTTCTGCTCATGCTGCTGCTTCTCCTTCTCGTTCTTCGTCCTCCTCCCCATCCTTCCGTCGCTCTTCGAATGTAAAGAGGCCTCCAAAAGAACCCCAACGTTTCGAGAGACATCAAACCAACAACTGCACTTGAGAGAGGCCCCATGGTTCCTTCTGAAGCGGGACGCGGGGGGTGTAGGAGTGGCCGTGTTCGTATGACCGTTGACTTCAGTCATTGTGGCTCAGGTTCATTACAAGACACCAACACCAGAGATCCTGAGGCCCCGAGTACCTCGAACAACCATGGGCGGAAAGCGTCCTAACAGCGGCTCCGAGGTCGGCTCCCATGTATCGAAGAAGGGGCCTGGGCAGAAGCGGATTGCTCGCAAGACCTTCGTCCTCCCACCTCTGGGAGAGCAGAAGTACGACGGGAACGTGTGCTGCATCTGTCACTTACACGCTGACAAGGACTGAAGGGGAGAAGCAACGAATCGAGAAGATTGGGGGGTGAGAGGAGGGAGGAGGAGGGAGAACGACTTCTCCTCGCTCTCCGCTTTCTCGAAAGACGGAATGCGAGGAGAAGTAGAGAAGTAGGAGAGGGTGAATCGAAGCCCTTTTGGCATCGTATCTTTGGGGCCCCCGTATCCATTGGGGCCCGTGCCGTCTTCTAAATCATCAGTAGCTCTTGTATGTACTTCTTCCCCTCGCCCGCCTCACGCCTCAGGCAGACAAGGAGTTCGTTGTCTTTTCCAGCGACGGCATCGACGTGCCGATGTGCTGCTCCGATGCTGGCGTGTACTGCGACTGCTTCAGCTACATCCCAGCGGCCTCAGTCCCTGCAATGCTGAGGAATGACGAGAATGGCATCCAGGCGAAGTGGAAGTCTGCCAGGGACAATCGAGAGAAGCCTGCCAATCAGAGGGAGTTCATCGTTGGTGCGACCGTGCTCAAGACCGATGTCCAGGACACCCGCATCTATCGGAAGTGGCTCGGAATGAATGACACTGAATACTTCAGCGTGTTCGGGAAGAAGCCCTTGATCAAAGACACTTCGCACTTGCCCAAGATCAACGTGCCGTCTGAGGCGGACCCGACAGTGAGGGAGAGGGTGTACCTATCCGCCTGGGAACCGAACAGTCCTCTTCGCACGATCGAGACGGGCTCCGTCGTGGGCTCCGCGATGGAGTCGATCACCCTCGACCCGACGTGCTGCTACTGCCCAGGGCAAGCGGCGGACTACTTCAAAGCGTCGGTGGGCGAGGACAGGAGGCTCGCGAGCGACAAGGGGTGGGCACCCGGGGAACGCGAAGTGCCCCCCCGTTCTCCAGACGGGAGCACCGTTGGGCGTTCCAGGGCCGAACGATTATGCCTACCACGAGATTCCTACTGGGCACCGCGGCGTTCCAGCCTACCACGAGATTCCTACCTGAGCACAGTTGGGCGTTCCAGCCTACCACGAGATTCCTACTGCCACCGCGGCTAGCGGAAGTTGCGCTGTGTCACAAGCCCGATGGCAGCGACGGTCACAAGGCCCTCTCGGCAGCACTCCTCCCTTTCCAGTGCCCCCTCCGACGGGGCGAGCTCGGCTCCTGGCGGCTGCCAGTCACGACCGCTGGCGCGCGCAGCAGCTGAGGCTGGTGGAGGAGCAAGCTCAGCCTTGCATCAACGGTCTGCCAGATTCGAGGCTTCCATGAAGGAGCAGTCGGCATTCGGAGATGACATTGGCGAATCCGCAAGCCAGGTTGGCGGCGACGGCGGGCAAGGTGACCAGGCAGACGTGTACATCAAGAAGCTGAACCTCGAGGTTGCGATACTGAAGGGGAAGGATGGGGTTGCGTTTCACCATGCGGGCCTTCGCGTCAAGTCTTGGACCGCGACACACGACAAGAAGGAGATGGGTGAGAAGCTCAGTAAGCATATGAAGGACTACGCGCTTGCAGCATCACTCAAGCCGAATCCAGTGGAACGCCTTACACCCGACCAGCTACAGAAAGCATACGACAGGGTGAAAACCAGCATGACGATCCCCAGCGCCGTCCAGCTGGACATCTGGGAGCAGGACGCGCTGTCCAGGGGCTCCAAAGTCACATTCCCAGTGGACGTTCCGCATTTTTTGTCGCACTGCTGGCCGTGGCCAATTCGTTGCAACGTCGCCAAAGACTTGGTCCACCCCGACCACGTTGAGTTTGAGCCTCTTGAGCCGCGCCTCATGCTCGTCAGCGGGGAGTTTTCCACCAAGATCGAGAAGTTCAGGCTGCACTTCATCAGGAACGTTTTGGGTGAGTTCATGACCAAGGGCAGCAACGGCAGGGAGTTCGTACAGAGCACGTGCAAGCACCTGCACGAGTGGGCTGACTCGACCATGGAGCAATGCGAGGACCTGGGCGACACGTCTGCCTATCTCTGCGAGATCACGACAGTTGCAAACGGGATCGACACCCTCTTCGACATGGAGAAGCTCCTCGACGGTGACGCTGGCGAGAATGCGATGAACGACCTCAGGGAGCTCAGCGACACGGAACACAACTCCAGCGTGATCAAGTCGGTGGCCCTCGTAATCGCAAACGCCGACTACTACCGCGATATGCTCACCAACGCCTTGACCAACGCTGCGAAGATCAACGATGCTCGGCCCAAGTACGTGGACATCAACAGCGAGCTTACCACGACCATGCAGCTTGGCCCTCACGAGCTTGCATCAGGCCTTGAGGGGACCCTCAAGATGCTCCCCACCGTCATCTTCGCAGTTCCAGGCCATTGCGTCAAGCGGCTGAACGAGAAGACGATGACCGTTATATGCCAGGTTATCGGTATAGCCAAGGCCGAGTGTCAGAACGAAGGTGGCCAGGACGTACTTCAGAAAGCGCTGTCAGTATTGAAGCTTGCTGCCACGTGCTTCCCTATGGAAACATCGATCCCGAAGTGGAAGACAGAGCTCGTCGAGCTGATCAGCAAGCTGCAGAGCTCGACTACTTCTAAGGCTATTGCCGAGGGGTTCGGCGGAATCGAGAACGGCAACGACGCCATCGCCAAGCTCGATAAGATGGAGACGCTCTTGGGAGGTATTTCATTGGCGTGTCTGGATGAGGAGAAGAAGCAGGAGATAGTGAACTCATTGAGGTTCCTGTGTGAGGGTGCCCTGTCCTCCTACCCAGCTCAAGATGTTGATCGCATCGGTCGCCTGATCGATGATGTGGTGCAGAGCCTGGGCATCGACTACGAGACTGTGGAGCAGAAGATCGCCCACGCTTTGGTAGCTGGGCGCTCTCTTCATCAGCTAGTGCAGAACGTCAACGCGTTGATCGACCCCCCTGCAGGGCAGGCACAGCAAGATGTCGACCCTGCTTCAACGGCCACGCTGCAGTTCCTAGTCCAGCAGCTCACGAGCCTCTCCACGGAGATCCAGGATGTGAGGAACGTAGGGGACTTCTTGGCCGCCTTGGAGGCGACTCGCACCGACGCAGTCGAGTGCTTGCGAAGCGTGGGGGGGGCCAAGCTGGAGGAGGCGAACCGTTCTGCCCAGGACATCATCGAGAAGCTTCGCCCCTTACAGGGCGGCCTTGAAGGTGCCGATCACTGGCTTGAAGGCTTGGTGGACAACAAGAGGACCAAGTGGCCCGACTTCTACGAGTACGCCCAGAAGACGATCATGCAGGACAAAGGGACAGCTGGTCTCAAGAAAGAGCTCGACGCTGCCAACGCGGTGCCACTGGGCTAACTTAACACAACTCCCTGCCGACTTGAGGAGAAGGAGCAGGTGGAGGAGCAGGAGGAGGAGAGGGGGTAGGATGAGAGGGGGAAGGAGGACAACGACGAAACGAGGACCGAGGGAGGAAGAGCTGCTGCTGCTGCCGCTCCTCCTCATCCCTCCTCCTCCTCCTCCTTACTCCTCCTCCTCCTCCTCCTCCTCCTCATCCTCCTCCTCCTCCTCCTCCTCCTCCTCCTCCTCCTCCTCCTCCTCTCCTCCTCCGCCTCCTCTCTCTCTCTCACCTTCCCTCCCCCCTCCCACCAACGAAACGGACGTGAAATCTGGGGGTGGCGTCAACCAAAAAATCGGCGACGAGGTTGAAGGACAGGGTGAGGGAGACGAGGGGGAGGGAGGAGGTACAAGGAGGAGAGAAGACGATCATGAGGAGCAGTAGGAAGAGGAGCATAAGGAGCCTGATGAAAAGGAAGGGGAGGAGGAGGAAGATGGGAAAAAGAGGAAGGGAGCAGGGTGTTGAAGAAGGAGTTGAGGGGAGAGGGTTTGGGAAGGAGTGAAATGGGAGAAAAGAAAATCGAGGCTGGCGGAGGGGGCAAACAGACCGCCCTCCCCCCCCAGAGGAGGTCCGACGCTCTGACCCCCGCACTGAGACCATCCCAAAGATACCTCCCCCAAACGCTTTATCCAAATAGCCCTCGCAATTCCGCCAACCCTATTCAGAGGTCTACTGGGGTATGGCTAGTTGTTTAGCAGTCTCGGAACCACTCTGAGGCAGCCTGGTGCTCTTGTAATGCCATCTTGGGATCTCTTGGAGCAATTCGGGCCGTCTCAAAAGCTGCGCTGGGATCTTGCAGGACCCTAATACAAGACCCATCTATGGCTCTCTTGGATACAATTTGGCACCTGCGGGTGGCAGCGGGTCGTTTTAAGAAACCCTTGGGTCGCATGAAAAAGACACTGGGCCGCTTGTAGGTGTTCTTGGGCCTCCTGGTGCAGGAGAAGGGCAGGGGCAGGTGTCGTTTCGTTTTGGGGGGAAGGTAGAAGTGGAGGTGCATGGGGCCCCACACAATAATCATGGCACCTTTTCGCCCAATTGATAGCTACTGGGGCCCCTCCCCTGACGTGCCCTGTGCTGGTCTGCCTTCTCAATGATGCCCCCCCTCGCCGTGAGGTTCTGGGTCGCATTGCGGAGCTCGAGAAGGCGTTCTGCTTGGACGCCGACGGCGCGGTCAAGCAGGGCCTCCACGAGGTGGTGGTGAAGTGCACCGAGGTGTTTTACACAGGTTTGTTTCTGCATGCCTTCAAGAAGCCCAAGGATAAAGTTGCCTTGCGGGCTACGATTTCGAAGCACAAGGATGCTTTCAAACAGATCGAGGGGGTCTCGCTAGGAAACCTTCCCAAAGTTTTGACGGACAGGTGCGAGCAAGCTATGAAGTTCCAGATTTCAGTTTGAGCTTCTGTTGGCGGCCTCGCCCAATGCCCCTGTTGACCTCAAGCGCGAGCCCCCTCTTCAGCCTCCCGCCCACTGCGCACAACACCAATAGACTTGTAGTGATAGAACTCGACCTGATTTGGTTAGTTGGGGAACCTGGGGCTCGGGGTCGCTAGCTGGGGCCAGGTTTCGAACTAAACAGTCTGATAGCATGTCCAAACACGTGCGCCCGAAGACGAGTATGTACCGATGTGCTACAATGTATGTGTGTTGGTCTCACACTTCGTGCGCGCAGTGGGTCCCCCATCCTCCAGGCAGCGCTTCCGACTCGATGTACATAGGTTGCACTGTTTGCGGGCGTGATTGTTGCAACCCAGAGTCGCAAAGATCCAGGGTGCGAACACTAGGAACCAGTGAGCGAGAAAAGAGCAGGCTTGATCTGTAGCATGCTTGCCCACGTTGTCTCTCAATGTTCACCACGTCTTCACTTTTGCATCGCATGTGTTATCTCAGAGAGTGGCAGCTCAATCGATAAGGCTTCGCTGATTCACAGTTCAGTTTTCTTTCAGGGGGGAGTGATGCTCACGCTCACTCGGTGCTTTTAAAGCGTTGGGGCGGAAAAGCCAGACCACTCTCCTGAGCACTCACCCTGGGCACTCCCCAAACCACTCCTCCAGGCACTCCCACAGAAATCCTCAGATCCACAGAGTTTGCAGGGCCACTGACATTATAAGACTCGATCGATGATCGAGGACTGAGGATCGAGGAGGAGATCAGGAGGAGCAGGAGGGGGGAAAGGAGGAGGGGGGGGGAGGAGGAGGAGGAGGAGGAGGAGGAGGAGGAGGAGGAGGAGGAGGAGGAGGAGGAGGAGGAGGAGGAGGAGGAGGAGGGGAGGAGGAGGAGGAGGAGGAGGGAGGAGGAGGAGGAGGAAACACGCAACAGATTAACCCTGATGTCCGAGCAACACACAGGAGAGGAGGAGGAGGAGGAGGAGGGAGGAGGAGGAGGAGGAGGAGGAGAAGGAAGGAGGAGGAGGAGGAGGAGGAGGAAGAGGAGGAGGAGGAGGAGCATCGAGGATCGAGGATCGAACATCGATCGGGGAGCGCCGGCGACGGCGGGCGCTGGCGGCGGCGGCGGGCAGAGCGCGTGCGCGCCAGCGCTCCAAGGGGGCCCCTATCTGGCCGCGCGGGCGGCCCCCATTCCACGGAAGGGCGGCCGCGGGCACCTGCGGGGCCCGCGGGAGGAGCAGACGACGACGACGACGACGACGACGACGACGACGGACGACGACGACGACGACGACGACGACGACGACGACGACAACGACGCGGCGGCGGCGGCGTTGACGACGACGAAGAAGACGAAGAAAACGAAGACGGCGACGAGGCCCGCGGGAGGAGAAATACGCGAGACTATAGGGAGGATGGGCCCCAAACCCCACACCCGAAACCCTCAGACCTACGAGCCTATAAGTGTTCAGATCCTAAACAGCGCTTCGGCCGCCCCTTATGTTCCCCCCTCCATCGCCCCTCACAAACAATACGGTGTTTGCAAATGCGGCCAGGATCCCTGGCAAAAGAAACGCGCGTCGCATACAGGCTCCCGCAACTCACGCGCCCAACAGGCGTCGAATGGGGCTCCTAGACCCTAAGCCCTAAATCCGCCCAGCATGTAGACATATTCGTCCTGTTTGAGAACTAAATTCTAAGAGTCCACAAAAATCAAAATCCTGAAATGCCTTATGGCGCCCTTACGGCGCCCCTTCCGCCGCCCCCCACTTCGGCACACCCTCACGCAAATCCTTGCCCTCGGAGTGCCAGGAACGGTGTTCCGAGAGCTTTTGCGCAACGCATGGCGCACCCGAGCATGCATCGCCAAGGCGTCGGCAAGTTGCTGCGGGGAGCTGTTCATTTTTGTCGTTTCGCGCGCGCGTCGTCGCGTTGCTAATTTGACAGGCCCGTGGCCTGGACCTCTCAGCTCGGCGACTGCGACTCCGCGTCCGCCCGGTCCGCCCGCGACCAAAAAAAAAATGCGCGCGTCGCATCGCCCTTGCATCGGCCTTCGCGCACCGCGCCGCACTGCTAAGAATGCGAACTGGGGATCCGTCTTCCCGAGGCGACAAGCTATCCCGCGCTCGTTGCGCAATCACTCCATGCAATCTCACCGCCGCTGGGCGGCGTCCCTGCGACGCGCAGGGACTCGCGTAAAGATGCGTGGTTATTCAAATTGCGTCGTCGCGCGCGCGCCGCATCGCCGTCGCAGCGGCTTCCCAGAATACTTTGCGCGCCGGTCGTCGTTGTCGTCGTTTTGAGATCAGCATCGTCGTCTTCGTCATCGGTGTCGTCGTCGTCGTTTTGAGATCAATATGTCTTGGGTCATGGGTGGGTGGGACACGTCCAACAGGCTTCAAGTTTGGGCTACTGGACCCTGAACCCTAAGAACTAAGAGCCTATAAAAATTGAAATCCTGAAGCTGTCACGGCCGCCCTTCGGCGCCCCTTATGCCGCCCCCAATTTTTCGGCGCGCCCCTCGCGCAGATTCTTGGCCTCGGAGTGCCAGGAATGGCGCTCCGGGAGGAGATGCTGGCATCGGAATGCCAGACATGGCGTCGTTAGTCCTCTGCGAGAGGCACGGGCGCGACCTCGACCCTTTCGGGTTGAGCGCCGCCCCCGTGCCCTTCCCCACGGGCCGCCCCGCGGGGGCTGGACGTGGCCCCCTGGGTTTCCGAGCGGCCATGGCCGCCCCGTCGCGCTGACACTCCGCGGCGCGCTCAAGCGCCACGGAGCCAGCGCGGCAGGGCGACCGCGGCCGCCCAGAAGCCCCCCTCCCTCGGGAGCCTCTCGCCGAGAAGCTCCCGGAGGAAGGCGCAGCTGCGCCTCGTCGACGCTTTTCTGGGGGCGCCGCGGTGGGCGGCGGTGGCGAGCGGCGCAAGCCAGGTTTCAACGCATCGCTACGATTCCGCCGTGACGCCGTGGAGGGCTCGGCCCAGCGCCAGCGACGCGGTGCGGAGACAACATCGTCGTCGTTTTGAGATCAATGCGTCTTGGGCCATGGGTGGGTGGGACACGCCCAACAGGCTGCGAGTTTGGGCTAGTGGACCCTAAACCCCAAACCCTAAACTCTAAACTCTAAACGACGGAAAAGGATGCCGAATAGCACGCGAGCCGAAACGAGTTCGGCGCGCGAAGCGCGAACGGCCACTTGCAAGTGAGCTCAGACGGCCCCCCCCCCCGAGCCGAGCGCCCGCTGCGCGCCCGCCCACCAAGCCCTACTACTACTACTACTACTACTACTACTACTACTACTACTACTACTACTACTACTACTACTACTACTACTACTACTACTACTACTACTACTACTACTACTACTACTACTACTACTACTACTACTACTACTACTACTACTACTACTACTACTACTACGACTACTACTACTACTACTACTACTACTACTACTACTACTACTACTACTACTACTAC